TCCATTCCATTCCATTCCACTCTACTCTACTCCACTCCACTCCATTCCACTCCACTCCACTCTTTTCCATTCCACTCCATTCCCATCCCTTTCTTTTTCCTTCCCTTCCCTTCTCTTTCCAAACAATTCAATCCAAAAATGATTAGCTACATTAAAGCAAGGTAAGCATCAGCAATGGGGGGAGTACAGTGATCCAAAGAGGGGTGTCAGAGCCCAAACAGGATGAGGAGGGTGTCTACATAGGATGAGGGTGGTCCAGTGAGAGTGGTCAGAGCTCAAGGGAGTGAGAAGGGAATTCTCATGGAAAGGCAGCCTGGCATGGGGTATCAGAGGTTGAGTGGAGTGAAAAGGGAGAGGGTGGTGGCAGCAACAGGAAATTGTTACATATAGGGGATTGGCCAAATAAGTAAGTATATTAAAATCAGTGAGAACCAGGTTTCTCACTGTTGGAGAAGGGAATTACAAATATGGAAAGGGAGAAAACTAGAATTAACCATGGAAGTTGGACTGGCATTGGATCTATCAGGGTGAACTCATGGTTTTCAATAAAGATAGATGGCTATACAAACAAATATAGATATAAATGTGTGTAAGTATAACTCTGTCCACTGAGAGGGTCTAGGAATAGTGACACCGCAACAATAATTAGCACACCTAGCACCCCGATCTTGGTTTCTAAATACCATTCTCCACTAAAAGGAACTCGAGCTTTTTGGAGATATGGCTGATTTCAGGACAAGAGCAGAGAAAGTACAAGATAAGCCTGGAATATCTTGTGCCAGAGAATAAGGACGTACGTAAAGAATGATGAGGATATGTCAAAAGGACACAAAAGCCAGCTTGAAGGGGCTATAATAGGCCAAATCTGGAATAGCTTGAGCACCTAAATAAATAATAACAGCAATGGAATCACAAATCCATACTGATGTAAATAAGTAAATGGAAAGTGTGATGAGGGATGGGATATTTACCTAATCTCACTCAAAGTACCTCCTTATGAAATATTTAATTTCAAAGAGGAAAAGAGTAACTTCACAGTGGAGAAGCCTGGTAGACACCAACTTACTCAAGTAACCAAAGTGAACATCATCAATAATGGGATAAATCAAAGTCATGTGTCCTCTGTTACGATGCCATGAGAAAAATATAGCATCATTTCTGAGATACTCTTGCCAAAGATGCACAACCTTGATTTAATCATCAGGAAACATCGGACAAACCAAAAGCAAGGGACATTCTACAGAACAACCTGTCCTCTTCAAAGGTCCAAATCATGAAAGTCAAGTGAAGACTGAGGACAGTTCCAGACTGAAGGAGACTCAAGAGATAGGACAACTAAATGCCATGAGTGTTCCTGAATTGGATCCTTTTATTACAAAGGACATTATTGGGACAATTGGTGAAATTTGAATGGGATCTGAGTTTTAGATGGTAGTAATGTATCAATATTAATTTCCTGATTTTGATGGTTATAGCATGTTTATGTAGAACGTCCTTATTTGGAAGAAATACACATGTAAACATTCAAGGTAGTGGGGCTTGTGGCACCAATTTATATTTATACACAAATAGTTCAGGAAAGACAAATTCTTTGTACTGTACTTGTAACTTGTCTGCACGTTTGAGATGGCACAGAAGAAAAAGAAATAAATGTTTTGTGTGGCTTAGGATTTCTTTTAAATTTGGATTAGTTGCCAACATCTAAAAACCAAGAGATTTTTCATACAAATCTAGATTTCTGACTTTCTTGACAAATCTGAAAAGCTGGCAACTCTGGACAATGACTGGCCAAATGAAGAGCCACAGTGCTCTTTAGATGGCCCATGTGGCCTTCAGTTTTCAAAGTCCCACCATTCCTTATTGTACAACACCCAGCCCACAGCATCCGGTTATGGTACCAGCCCAGCCCCTGGTGCCAGCCCAGCCCCAGTCGTAAGCTATGGGAAGGCAAGAACTTGTCTCAGAGCAGGCACAAGAAACATTTGTCGGACAGATAGATGGATGGATGGATGAATGGTTTGATCTATCAATGGATGGATGAGCAAACTTTCAAGCTCCATTAACCCTGAACAATAATACCAGCATGTCAAGTCTATGTTCTGTGGCAAGGCCAGCCACTCTTGTAGACTTGAATTTTTGTATCAGCCATAGAATCTAGGCGGTTCAGCTGGGATGGAGCAAGTTGAGAAATCAGGGTGCGTCTGATGCCAAAGGTCCCCATGTGGCCTGTGATCTCTCCCTGGGGTTTATGGAGGAGTCTGAAAGGTATGTGGGATTCTGGCACTGGGCGGGACTGTTGGGTGGGCAGGTGAGGCTTTGAAGAGATGGTATCTTTGGATGCCTGAGGCAATGAGGTTGGGCAGGGTGGGAACAGGACATACTTGATGACTTGGGTTCCTAGCCATGGGAGATCTGACTTGATGGGGCATGCCAGGGTCTGGGTTCTGAGCAAGAGGTGATGATGGCTTCATGTTCCCCAGCCCTTCTCACTTCCTGATTCTGCCTGGGTCATGCTCTTGGTTTGGAACAACTTCTTCTCTCATCTGCCCCCTGAAAGGTTAAATTGAAAACATTTAATAAGGTTTGACAGATATTTTTCTAGTATTTCTCATTGGTCTTAGAATCAAATCCAAATTCCTTACCACCCCCTACCTGACCCAACATACTTCAGCCCCTGTTCACCTCCCTGGGTACTACCACTCATGTCCCACCCTCACTGACTCCACTCCCCTCCCCTCTCCTGGTTCCTTACACACACCAAGCACTTTGCCACCTTAAGGCCTTCGCACCTTAGTATTCAGGGTAGTGGGGCATTGCATCAGCAATTCACACTCAAATCTCCTGCTGTTATTGAGTAGATTCCAACTCATGGTGGCTCTGTGTGTTACACAGTAGAACTGAGCTCCATGGGGTTTTTTTGGCTGTAATATTTATGGAAGCAGATTGCCAAGCCTTTCTTCCACCGCACCACTGGGTGGGTTTGAACTGCCAACCTTTCAGTTAATAGTCTATCACAAAGTGAATTGTTCTCTCCCTACACCATTCTTTGGCCTGGCTATCTCCTACTTCCCCTTCAGGTCTTAGCTCAAATGTCACTTCTGAGATTCTGCCCCTAACACTCTACATGCTATCTCAACCAGCAGCCCTCAGCCAACCTGTATCACTACATCCTGTTTTATTTTCTTCATTTTATCCTTATCAGTGTCTAAAATTGTCTTATTTATTTGCTTAGTGTCTGTTTCCCCAATTAGAATGTTCGCTGGGTGGCGACCTATATTTATTCTGGAATGAATGAGAGACTCTCAACAACTATGTGTTGGATTTCTGGATAGGCTAAGCATAGGGTGTTAGGACATAAGCATTTAGGTGTTGTGGCTCAGGTGAACTGTGCTTTAGATTGTGGGAAGAAAGTACCCTGGACTGTTGGGGGTGAGGTTAGATTTTGAGAAACAAGCACTCAGTCAGGTAGTCGTTGAGTTGGACTGTAAACTGTGCTGGGTCCGATGTGTAACATTAGACTGTTGAGATCAGACTGGACCTCAGTCCAGTTGGGCAGTGGCTAAGTTCGCTTGTGACTTGAGCAGAGTCCAACACATCACTTGGGGCTGTTGGAGGGCGAGACCTGGATTTGGGGAAGCTGGTGTCCTGAGGTGCACTGGCTGGGTTGGGGTGTAACCTGGGCTGGTGGGAGGGTTGTGAGCTGTGACCAGGGCAGCTTCACGCCCTCATCAGGCGAGGACCTACTCCGAACCGGTCCGCCTGGGATGGGAGTGGAGTGAGGGCCCAAGCCGGGGTCGGTGGACGGGACACCTGAGTAATACTCACTTGGGAGCGACTCACCCGGCCCGACAGAGACGCACTAGTAGGCGCGTTTTCGCGCCGGGCTCGCCGGCCCCGCCCCTGGGCCAATGACAGCGCGGAAACCCGCGACGGCGGGCGTGGATTGGGCGCGGGGGAGCGGGGGCGGGGCGACGCAGCGGGAAGCTTAGGCGCTCAGCCGGAGGGCGGCGCTGAGCGCTCGGCTACGCTGGCGCTGCGCGGGCGGAAGCGGCGACGCTGGCGTCCCCGGAGCCTGCGGAGGACGGCGGCGACGGCCCCGACGCTGACGGCGGCTGTCGGGGGGGCGGCGAGGACGCCCGCGGCGCCGGCTGGGGCATCACCGCGGGCCTCGACCCCGAAATGGCGCTGCTGGCCGAGCACCTCCTGAAGCCGCCGCCCGCAGACAAGCAGATCGAGACGGGGCCCTTCCTCGAGGCCGTGTCCCACCTTCCGCCCTTCTTCGGTGAGCCGGGTGAAGTGGGTGGCCAGCCTGCAGCCTTGCCCCAGGGCGCCCCGGGTCTTGTTGCTCCACAGCGCACCTCCTGAATCCACCTCCTCCCAAGCACCCCTAAATCCTCCCTCCCTAGACACCTCGAATCCTATTTCCCTAGGCTCCCTAAATCCCATTTTTCTCCAAGGACACCAAATTCTCCCTGCTTGAACCACCTCCGTGTCGTGTGGAGGAAGGCTCGGGAGCCCTGGGAAGGCGGCCGCTCGACCAGTTTCAGACCCTCCTCCCCTCCCTCGCCCAGCCTAGGCCTTGAATGGAAAATGGGAAACTGAAGACTATATCACCTGCCCCTGCCCTATGCCTTTCGGGTCCTGTGTAAAAAGAGTGCAACCTGAGCCTTTGCTTTCTTCTTTTCCATGCGGGCTCACCCAGTGTCCCACCCTGCTGGTTCCTTTGGTGGCCCTTGCAGGAAAATACCAGTCCCCAGGGCAGAGTCTACCTGAAACCCACAAACTGGCAGAACCTTAAGATTGACATAGTCGGAAGAGATTTGGCCCCCAGGAGTGTCATTGGCTTTTCCCTTAGTGGGTGATCAGGTCTTGTTGTGGACAGTTGTTCCCTCAGTGTTGTGAACTCTACGTGGAGTCGTCCCAGCTCCTCTCCCCTCCACCTCTTAAGCCTCAGTGTTCCAATCTGTGAAATGGGGACGCTGGTCTCTTAGGCCAGCCGTGAGGAATAAATGAGATGATGTGTGTAAATCACTGGCTGCCAAGTAGATCTCAGCTCTGCTGGGAGTGGTTCTTATTTAAGTTCCTGGATCCAGTTTTGGCTCTCTCCTATACAAAAAACAAAACCAAACCTGTTGCCATCAAATTGATTCCGACTCATAGCGACCCTATAGTAGATTCCCTCCTAGAATAGATGACTAATCAGTGTTTGAGTGAGGTTTTCTGGTTTGTATGATTCTCAGACCCAGGTAAGCAACCTGAGGATAGGGTCTTGGTCTTTAGGTGCACTGCTGGGTCCCCAGTAACCAGAGCAGTGCCTGGCACATAGCAGGTGCTCAGTCAGTACTTGTTGAACATGCAACACTCTCTTGCTATCAGTTGTGCAGCGTTGCGATAATACTGACTTTCTAAGCTGGGGCTTGGGAGATAGGTGGCTTTCGCATTGAGGCGTTGGCTGTTTTTGAAACAGAGTTGTGGGTTCTTCTTGTTGTTTTTCTGTTGGTTTTATGAATTCTTGCAGGTCAGAGCCAGCTCGCCCTGGAGGATTCAGTATCTTCTTAAGCCAGTGGTTCTAACTGGGAGTGATTTTGCCCCCCTCTCCCCCCAACCCCAGAAGACATTAGGCAATGCCTGGAGACATTTGTGGTTGTCACAGCTGGAGGAGGGCTGCTAAAAAAACCAAACCAAACCTATTGCCGTTGAGTTGATTTTGAGTCATAGTGACCCTATAGCGACCCTATAGGACAGATCAGAACTGCCCCATGGGGTTTCCAAGGAACGGCTGGTGGATTCGAACTGCTGACCACTGTGTCACCAGGGCACCTACTGGCATCTTAGTAGATAGAGGGCAGGGATGCTGCTCAGTATCCTACCATGCATAGGATGGCCCCCACCACAAATAATTATTTGGCCGCAAAAGGCAGGAGCGCCAAGGTGGAGAAACCCTGGGCTAAGCCCTATGGCCTTTTCCCCCCTTATCTTCTGTGAGGGAGCTGTCAGCTCTATATTTGGGGCGCCTTTGGTAGACGCAGTTATCTGGCTGGTGTTCAAGCAAAGGAGGAGGTGGCAGCTGGAGCCACCAGGGATCTGGTGCCAGGGCTGCAGCGCATCTCCTCCCCCTTTGCCTGCTCTCAAAGGACCCTTGTCTTTGCTACGATCCCTGTGCTGTGGGCTGTCACATCTGCTGACAGAAGCGCCATTTATTCAGAATCCTCAGTGAGGTCGGCCCACAAAGGGCCAACTACCAGCGTGCACTCTGCCCACCAGAGCTGAGGACTATTCACCAAAGAGGATAATTCTTAGCACTCTGAAAAAAGGGATAATCCATTTTCAATCACCATGCTCTTCTGGGGAGATAGGTCTTCTGAGGATTTAAGACTCAGGTTTTACGAGGATTCACCCACCATTGGCTTTTCTTCTGGACTTGGGTTGGAAACCCTGGTGGCATAGTGGTTAAGCGCTATGGCTGCTAACCAAAAGGTCAGGAGTTTGAATCTACCAGGCGCTCCTTGGAAACCCTATGAGGCAGTTCTACTCAGTCCTGTAGGGTCGCTATGAGTCGGAATCGACTTGACGGCAATGGGGTTTTGTTTTGTTTTGTTTTTTTGCCCTGGGGTAATGGGCGCGCAAAGTCTGAAAGGTATTGCAGTGACCCACCAAAAAAACCAAACCCACTGCCTTCGAGTTGATTCCAACCCTATAGGACAGAGCAGAACTGCCCCCATAAGGTTTCCAAGGCTGTAAATCCTTAAAGAAGCAGACCGCCCTATCTTTCTCCTGTGGAGCAGCTGGTGGGTTCGAACAGTCGACCTTTCAGTTATCAGCTGAGCGCTTTTTTTTTTTTTATTGTTGTAATTAAATGAAGTTTACATTTCAAGTTAGTCTCCCATACAAAATTTTTTTTTTTTTTTACATACATTGTTATGAGACCCCAACCGCTCACCCCTTTCTGTGACAGCACACTCCTCTCTCCGCCCCTGATCCCCCATGAACGTTCAACCAGCTTCTAACTCTCTCTGCCTTCCCATCTCACCTCTGGACAGAAGCTGCCCCTTTGGTCTCTTGTATCTACTTGACTGAGAGGCACATTCTTCACGAGTATCAATTTATGTCCCACAGTCCAGTCTAATTCCTGTCTAAAGAGTTGGCCTCAGAAATTGTTTTAGTTCTGGGTGATAGAGTCCAGGGGCCATGCTTTCTGGGGCACCTCCATGCTTAGTCAGACCATTAAGTCTGGTCTTCTTACTAGAATTTGAGTTCTGCATCCTATCGTTCTGCACTCGATCAGGGACCCTCTGTTGTGTTCCCTGTCAGGACTTTCATTGGTGGTAGCCGGGCACCATCTAGTTCTTCTGGTCTCAGGCTGATGAAGTCTCTGGTTTATGTGGCCCATCAGCTGAGCGCTTTAACTACTGAGCAACCAAGGCTCCTTACCTCAGTGACAGTCTCCTCCAAATCAGGGTTTCTCAACTTTGGCACTCTTGCCATTTGAGGTCAGATAGCTCTTTGTTGTGGGTGGGCTTTCCCGTGCGTTGTAGGATATTTGGTAGCATCTTGGCCTCCACCAACTAGATGCCAGTAGCACCCACTCTGCCACGGTTGTGACACCCAAACATATCTCCAGATCAAAACCATTGCTGTAGAGTCGATTCTGACTCCTGGTGACCCCATATGTTACAGAGTAGAATTGCTCCAGAGGGTTTTCTTGGCTGTAATCTTTATGGAAGCAGATTGCCAGGCCTTTCTTCCACGGCACTGCTGAGTGGGTTCAAATTGCCATTCGGTTAGTAGTCAAGCGCAAACCATTTGCACTACCCAGGGACCAGGGAGGCAAAACTGCACTTGGATGAGAACCACTGCTGTAGATATAAATATGGTAAAGGGTTGAAAACTTTTTTCTGTTTGTTTTAAATTTTATTTATTTTGTTGATGTTGTTGAGAATATACATGGCAAAACATCACCAATTCAACAGTTTCTACATGTATAATTCAGCAACATTGATTGCATTCTTCGAGTTGTACAACCGTTTCCACCCTCCTTTTCTGAGTTGTTCCTCCCCCATTAGCATAAACTCATTGCCCCCCTGAGTTTTCTGTCTGATCTTTGGATTTGCTGTTGTCAGTTTGATCCCACGTGGATAGATCTTGAAAGAGCCTAATGCTCAAGGCAGACATTCCTTCCCGTTAAGATCAGCAATTGTTTGGTTTGAAGAAGACTTCAGGAGATAGTTTTGGTTTAAGGTTTAAAGATTATCTCAGGGCACTGGTTTCAGGGAAAAGCTGTGTTTTTAAAAAGGATTTAATTCTGCAAGCAAGATTTCTTCATTGCAGAAAATTGAACAAACAGAAAAGATACAGTGAAACCTGTGAAAGCCGGAACCTGTGTAAGGTGGAAACCTGTCAGAGACGGAAAATGTAAATATTTTCCACTAAAACAAGCGGCAGGAAGGTGATAAGACTGTACCCTGTCAAAGGCAGAAAGTTTGCAACACCTGGAACAACTCGCATTCCAGCTCTCAGGTTTCACTGTATATACAGATCTGCCTGTCATTTATTGAACAATTACTCTGTCCAAAGTGCTCAAAATGTATTAGTTCACAGCCTAATCTTCTCACAACCTTTTTAGATAGGGTTTTTTCAGAGAGAATCTCACATTTTAGAATATTTCCTTCCAGACTCATTTATATCTTTTTTTTTAAAAAAAAATGTATAACCTGCTTTTTTCACCCAACAGTATAGCATGGGCATCTTTTCATGCTGATCATCATTTTTCATAGCTGCTTAGAATTCCACTGTTTGCGTGTGGCCATCATTTGTTTAACCAATCCCCTACTGCTGGACATTTACATTGCTTCTCATTTGTTGCCCTGGTAAACAACGCTGCAACGAACATCCTTGGATATATTTCTTTGCGTGTTTCTTTGGTTATTTCCAGTATTTGTAAGTGAAGTTGCTGGGTCGAAGGGTATGAAGGCTTTGCACATATCAGAGCAGCCACATTTCTTAAACCTCTGATGAATTGGTTGGGCTTGGTGGATGCTGATTTTTTCTGCTTCAGCAGCGTGTTGGCTGTAGGCCAGCCTCCTGTTTGCCCAGTTTAGAGATGGAGTCCATAACTTGGGCTAGCACTTCCTCCTTATCTCCAGCCTGAATCTCTTGGGTTGTATGGGTTTTACTACATCCACTTAGAGGCCAGTCCTTTGTCCATCTTATATCTCTACCTTGACCCAGTAATCGGATCTCATCTCTGACTGATCAGTTTGCAAGACTGACTTCTATGAGGCC